TGTTGTGGGGGGTGCCTGTAGTCCCAGCTACCTGGGAGGCTGAGGCAAGAGAATCGTTTAAGCTCTAGAGCTTGAGGTTGCTGCGAGCTGTGATACCATGGCATTCTACCCAGGGCGACAGCTTGAGACTGTGTCTCAAAAAAAAAAAAAAAAAAAAAAAATCAAAGTAGATAGCAACCACTTCATCTGCCAGTCTCCTAATCATAGCAGCTTGCCTGCCTTTGTACCCATGTTCTCTGACTTCTCCTTTTGGGGGGTAATGTGTCCCTTCCCTATCAAAGCTCCTTCACTTGTGCAAAGGATCCAGTCCTCTCTTGTTTCTTTGGATACCAACTTCTGCATCGTTAATTTCTCTCTTGCTACGGAATCATTCCCATCATATAAACGTGCTGCGGTATTGTCTAGTTTAAGAAAATTCCATTTGACCTCAGCTACCATTCTATTTCTTCTCCATCATCACATAATTTCTTGAAAGAATTGTCTGTATTGTTTCTACTTTCTCATGTTCTGTTCATTATTTAACCCACTGGTGGTGGTGGTCTGTCCCCACCACTTTACTGAAACTACTTTTGCTATGTTGTAACATTTAGCATTTAACGTAGTTGGCTGCTTCCTTCTGGGTGAAAGAACCTTTTTTTCTTAAAATGTTTTACAATATGACAATCTCCTGCTTGTTCCTTCTCCCTGCCTGGTTTTCCCTTAATACTGTTTGTGCTGGGTGTGGCTCTCACTGAGAGCATGGTTCTAGATCCTTTTGCTTTGTATTTCTTTCCATAGGAGGCTTTAAATAACATCTAGATAGTTTGACCTTTCTTTCAAATTCCAAATTAGTAGAGGTAATTGCCAACTTGATATCTGATACATACCTTGCACTTAACATGTCCCAAATTGAAACTTCTTGCCCAGCCAACCGGCTCTTAACCAGTCAGTTTGTAGTGTCAACATTGATTGAGTTGTTAAATGCAAACACTTAGGTTTCCCTGGTCCATTGATTTCTCTGTCTCCATATCCATTTCATCAGCAAGCTCTGGATCTCTTTACTTCTGTCCAGTGTTACTACCATTACCCTAGCTCTTTGGCTCCTAAGTAATGCCCTTGCTGCTTTTTTTTTTAATGCTGCAAACCATTCTCCATGTTGCAGTTCTAGCAATCTTAAATGTAAATCAGATTATTTTACCCAACTCAGAACACTGACATACTGTTCCATTATACTTAGAACTAAATCCAAACTTCTCAGGTTTACAACCCCCCACAGGGTTTGGTCCTTTTCTCTGTCCTCTTAATCACTACAGCCTTGTTAGTCTGACCTTGTCATGTGAAGAACACGTCAAGATTGTTCTTACTACATAGAATGCTTTGCCTGCAGATGTTTACATGATTAGTAGCTTAACTTTCAAATACTGGTCTTAAATAGCATCTTCTGTGATGATTGAATAAAAAAGTAGCTTCCTAGTCACTATTTTATTTTCTTCATAGCATGCATCACTGCCTGATAGTTCCTTGTTGTTTATTTATTATACATTTTTCTCCATAGGAGTGTAGCTCTCAAGGAACTTTCTTGGTCTTTGCCTTATTCCCAACACCTGGACTAATGCATGTCACGTACTGTGTTTCCCCTAAAATAAGACTTACCCCCAAAATAAGCCCTAGCAGGATTTCTATGCATTTGTTAAATATAAGCCCTACCCCCATAATAAGACCTAGTGCTGCAGATATGCTGCATAGTGATGCCCTGCATTTCGGTGTGGAGTGGTAAGGAAGACTGGAATACCTTTTATCTGCCACAGCTCCTTCTCTAAGCAGTTGGTGTGGGTGCGCATTGCGCACGTGCGAACAGCTAGGGGAAAGGAGTTCACGTGTCACTAGCGCCAGCTCCGCCAACAAGGCTCCCCCTGTCAGGTTCCAGAAGAAGATGACTTAACTGTATTTGAATAAATGTAGATTGTTGTATTATACTTAATAAAAATAAGACATCCCCTGAAAATAAGCCCTAGTGTGTCTTCTTGAGAAAAAATAAATATAAGACAGTGTCTTATTTTGGGGGAAACATGGTAGAAGAGTCTCAGTAAATATTTTGCTGAATGAATGAACATTTAAGAGGATAGATTAAATTCAAATTGCTAAAATGGAATATGCTTCCTGAGGACATAGCAAATTCCCATCTTTGGAAGTTCTCAGAGAAGTAACTTTTGTGGAGGAACTTTTCCAACAGGTATTCTTTGCTTTGTTCCAGTGCATCTGAGAGACGTGATACTGTTACCTGTAGTAATACTGGCTCTGGAAAGTTTATAATCCTCCATGTAGGGGTGGCTTACTAGCTTTTCTAAGTTGCTTAGGACTTTGGAAAGGTCATTCACAGCAGCCTCCCCCAGCTTGCCCACCTCCTAGCATCCACTGTGTATTTTTATGCATTAAATGGTTGTCTGATTTGGAACTTGGAGATCCTTTGCATCTCTGTAGGACTCTGATTCTTGTGTTGTCATTGAAATAATAAACATCCACCTTCTTGGAGATTTTTTCTTTTGTTCCCACCTATTTCCCCCAAACTCCATCCCTGTTCACCACCTCAGGAACCACTGTTAATAGTTACGCATTTGTTTCTCCAGATAATTTTCTTGATCTCAAGTAAAACAAATGACAAAATAATTATATATCATTGTATATATTTTATGTATATGTATATATATATTTTATGTATATGCTGTTTTAAAGAGAAATATGGAATGGATAATTTTTGACTTTTTTCACTTATATCATGAATGTCTTTATCAGTATATACAGGATTTACCTTTTTCCTTTTTTGAGACAGTCTCACTGTGTCTCCTTCAGCAGAGTGCTGTGTTGTCACAGCTCAGCAACCTCAAACTCTTGGCCTTAAGTGATTCTCTTAAGCCTCCCAAGTAGCTAGGACTACAGATGCCCACCACAATGCTAGCTATTTTTGTTGTTGTTGTTGTTGCAATTGTTGTTTAGCAGGCCCAGCTGGCTGGGTTGGAACCCACCAGCCTCGGTGTACATGGCTGGCACCCTAACCATTGAGCTATGGATGCTGAGCCCAGAATTTACCTTATTCTTTTGAATAATTGCAGGGGATTTCATTGCATGTCAGTAGGTTAGTTCAATCCCCTTGATTACATTTGGACTGTTTTAATTTTTTTCAATTTTACAAACATGCTGAATGCCCTTGTTCTGTAAGATAAATTCCTTTGTCAAAGGTAAAAACATTTTAAATATTAGTGGATATTGCTGGTTGTTCTCCCAAATGGATGAACCAATTTGCCTTCTACAGCATGATTTAATTTTTTTTTTTTTTGTAATTGTTATTTTAGCTGGCTCAGGTTCGAACCCACCATCTTCCGTGTACGTGGCCGGCGCCCTACCCACTGAGCTACGGGCACTGCCTACAGCATGATTTTAATTGGTTGCCTTTCCTTCAGTCAGTGTCCTTCACATTTTGAAGGATCTGGGTGCCTAAAAAGATCAGTGGTGGCCTGGGCGAGGTGGCCCACACCTGTAATCCTAGCACTCTGGGAGGCTGAGGTGGGGGAATTGCTTGAGCTCAGGAGTTTGAGGCTGCAGTGAGCTATGCGATGCCACTGCACTCTAGTTGGGGTGACAGAATGAGAGTCTGTGTCTCAAACAAACAAAAAAAAGAATGATGTTTTCAAGGTGTTTACATGTTTAAGCATAATGAAAGCTGTTGCCATGGTGATGGGCACTAGAGAACTAGTTTGATAGTTTTCTGACTTTTGGATTAAATCTCAGTTTGTTGCTTTTTCTTGGTTAGTGATGGGATTATGCTAGCCTGAAGCAAATTTGGGTTTTCTTAAGTAGCGTAATCATTTATCTCATGCATAAAGATATTTTGGAAGAGTGTACCCCTGGAGCTTCTTCCTTGTCATTGGTGACTGTTGTTAATGTGACAGGCTAGACTCTTCAAGGCTGTATAGAATGTGGCAGTGGAGAGTTTTCTGTCAAGAGGTATATAGCTTCAGTTTTCTGCCTTTTTGGAGACAAATAAGCAGCTGCTAGAGCTTTCAGATCAAAGGTAATTTATCTACAACCCTGAGGTCCTCATGGACGAGCCTCTTGTGCTTACAATCTCTGTTATCCATTCGCTACATGTTCTATTAGAAAACAATTCCCATTCTTATAACTTGTTATTCAGCTCAGCTCCTTTGTTACTGCCTCAACTGCATCCTCTTCTAGGTATAATTGAAGCCTTTAAATTAAAGCCTATGAGAGCTTTGTGGGGTTTTTGGTTATATATATTTTTTTCTCTGAGTAAGCGTCTAGTTTTTAGCATAACTCTGAGAAGTCACATTTCTTTAGCAAACAATTATGAGTACAAAATTTAAATGTACAGTTTGATGAAATTTTAAATTTACTCATCTAACTACCATCCAGATCAAGATGTACAACATAGCTGGGTAGGGGCTCATGCCTGTAATTGCAGAAGGATTACTTGAGTCTGGGAGTTTGAGGCTGTAGTGAGCTATGATTGTGTCACTGCACTCCAGCCTGGGTGACAGAGCAAGACCCTGTCTCTTAAGGGAAAAAAAAAAAAAAGTTACAGAACAGTATCAGCACCAGAGAAGCCTCTTGGCATCTTCCCAATCCCCCTTCCTGCCATGGAAGATTAAAATCATTTTTCTGACTTGATTTATTATGGCTTTGTTTTGCCTGGTTTAAAGCTTTACATACATGGAAGAATAGTAGGTACTTTTAACATCTTGATTATATTGCCCAACTTATTCATGGAATTCATTTTGTATATAGGGGAAGTTGTTTTTCATGGTTATATAGTATTCTATGACTTACAAATACCATAATTTATCCATTTTACTTTTGGTAGACATTTAGATTATGGATATCATTTCTGTGTGCCTTTCAATGCATGTTTGTGTTCATTTCTGTTACAGTAGAATTATTAGGTCATTAGCAGTCATATTTGTTTTATACTTGTATCTAATCATTTTTGTGTTTTACTTCTTGTACAGTTTGCCTGAGAATACAGATCAACCCACAGAACAAAGCGGATTTCCAAGGCATCTCCCCAGAGCGGGCCTTTGCTGATTTTCTCTTTGCCAGCACCATCCTGCACCTTGTTGTTATGAACTTTGTTGGCTGAATCTTTCTGTTTCCTTAATTGAGGAGTGAGAGACAAGAACGTAAGTGATGATTATACTCCTTGTCTGATAATGTTGATTTTAGGAGAAGTTGTATAGGGCTAGTTTTGTTCAGATTGGCAAGGCTTCCACATTGATGATGTTTGTAAAATTTTCCATTAGTCTGTAAAGTGCATTAATATGATATCATCATGATTCATCAGTGCTGCTGCTTACGTCAATTCCTTGTCTTCTCACTGTTCTGTAAATCATTGAGATAACAGAAAATGAGTTTTGCTTGTAGCTAGTACAATATTTTTTACACCAGAACTCCATGAAAATAACTCATATTTTAAAAGAGACATAAATTGTACATTTTCCCTTTAGATTGGTCTTTAATTTTTTTCTGATTTTGATCTCAGGTGAGTTTAAATGCTATTGTCCTCATGGTACCCATTATTGACTGCTTACACCTGATAGGCATCTAGTATATATTGACTGAATGACTATGGCCATTTGCTAATATTTGTCCTTTAGTAGAAGTACTTGGGGAAATTCAATTAACTTGTGAGAGACTTTGTATTTATTTATTTGTTTGTTTGTTTAGAAAAGAATGTTACTCTGTTGTTTAGGGTAAAGTGATCTGGGGTCATAGCTCACAGCAACCTCAAACTCTTGGGCTCAGGTATCCTCCTGCCTCAGCCTCCTGAGTAGCGGGGACTACAGACACCTGCCACAGTACCTGGCTGGTTTTTCTATTTAGTAGAAACAAGGTCTCCCTCTTGTTCAGGCTGGTCTTGAACTCCTGAGCTCAAGCGATCCTCCAGTCTTGGTCTCCTACAAAAAGACTTTAAAATATAAGATGGGATGCTATTTGGTTCATCTGCCACTTTTTTCTTTCTCTTTCTTAAAAAAAAAAAAATTATACACATATATATGTATCTGTATACATGCACACACACATAAATCTTTGCAGTAACTTGCAATGCCATTTTGTGTTTTATTGGCAATAGAGTTCTTTTTTCCTCTGAAACTTCTATATAGAATCCTGCTATATAAAACAGAAGTAAAGTTAGGGTTGTTTCAGTGGACGTAAATTCGAAAGCATTCTCAGGTTGGCCTCTCCTTTATGTGTGATATGCCCTCACCTCCATCCCTTTCTTCCAAGCTGACTATCTGTCTATCTATCTGTATCTATCTATCTGTCTATGAATGACAGAGTAGAGTGGGTAGAGTGCCCTGGCGCATACCTCACAGCAGCCTCAAACTCTTGGGCTCAAGTGATTCTCTTGCCCCAACCTCCCAAGTAGCTGGGACTACAAGCACCTGCCACAGCGCCCTGCTACTTTTAGAGATGGGATCTCAAATCTTGCTCAGGCTGGTCTCTAACTCCTGAACTGAGGCAATCCACCTATTGAGGCCTCCCTCCAATTCTCCCTTCTTGAGCGCAGCTACACTTTCTTGAGTTTAGCTAAAGCTCAAGTATATGAGTGTTTCCCAGACTGTATATGAACACTGTTACTTTATATGAGAAGACAGAGGCATAGAACAATCCAGTGGCCTTCCCTGGCGACATAGTTAAGTGTTTGCAGGGTAGTGCCTTGGTGTTGTGGTGCTCTTGGCCCAGTGCTCCTTCCAGTACTCCATGTAGCTTACTGATGAGTGTGTGGACTGTTGTTTGTTTTTGCATTGCAATTTTTTTTCTTTTGAGACAGAGCCTCAAGCTGTTACCCTGGGTAGAGTGTTGTGGCATCACAGCTCACAGCAACCTCCCACTTCTGGGCTCAAGTGATTCTCCTACCTCCGCCTCCCAAGTAGCTGGGACTACAGGCGCCTGCTACAACACCTGCTATTTTTTGGTTGCAGCCCTCGTTGTTGTTTGGCGGGCCCAGGCTGGATTCGAACCCACCAACTCAGGTGTATGTGGCTGGCACCTTAGCCGCTTGAGCCACAGGCGCCGAGCCTGCGTTGCAGAGTTTAATGTTATTGTTAGTGGTGGTAGAGAAAGAGAACCCCTATTTCTACATGGAAAGCTGTCATTTTTGTATTAACCAGTAGAAATCTAATATAAGAGTTAGAGCATGTATGTGTAAATTGCATGCAATAATGTGATAATGACTGTATTAATATTTTCTGACATGAATTAGTCATTTACTTATGTTACATACATCTTTTCTTTGATACTACCTCAAAAACATTTCTGTTAGTTTGGGTAAGGTTTCATTTTTGATAATGGTAAGTTAACAGAGTGGTTTAGATCAGTAAAAAAATTTAGGAACCACTTTATTTTGTTATTTTAGTATAATTTAACTGCTTGATAACCTTATTAAGATTGAGTTTTGTCTTTCCTCTCTCCCTGTTTGCCAGTCAATGTCTTATTACTGGGAATGTAAGTAAAAGTAAAATGTAGCTCCTGCCTTCTAGATGTGAACAATCTAGTAGGGGAGAAACATGTAACCCTAACAGTTAAAATACAATACAGTTACAGCCTCACTAAAAATCAGAACCAAATACTGTGAGAGCCCAGAGAAGGTCCTGGACTCTCCCTTCTTGAGTGCAGCTAGAAAGTTGACCTATGAACATTGACCTTATGCTTGCAAAGAACTCTTAGGCTTTTTGATAGAGACTTCTGGAAAGGTCATCAATTTTCTGATTGCCTGCTAGATTTCTGAAGGTCTGTTTTTCTAGTTGAATCATGTGTATACTTAGGAAAGGGAGAGAGCAAACACTTCAAGGATGTTTTCTAGGCTCAGGGAGATATCAAATCATGGAAAATTATTTCCTAAGGCTGTCATGATTGGAGGAGGACTGTACTGCAGAGAGCTTAGTATTTCAAAATTACGACAAAAACAGAGAAGAAAAGCAAGCTCAGCAGAAACTGTGTGCTATCAACCATATTAACAACTTAGGACCACCTGTTTGGCTGGGAATTATGGGCCCCAGGTACAGAAAAATCTTCAATCCCAGATTGCAGTGTTAAATCATTCTGGAGAGAATACGTGCATAGAAAAATTCTTCTCTCTGGTGGAATTGCCCAGAGCATTTTTCTTAGAGATTCTTCATTTGACATATACTACAGTGTCCTCTCAGTTTTTTTAAAATACACATTTATTTGCCCCTTTTATGTGCCTCTAACTCAGCTACATGTATAGTGTGCCAAAGCACTTTAAAAATAGTTCCAAATGAATTCTCAGTATTTATACCAGCTCAGAAAGTGGAACAAAACAGATTGGACATTTTTCGTATTTTCCAACTAAGTTGAGAGTTTGGTATTAAAAAAATAAATCAGCATCTATAATGTAACTGATCTTGCATGAATTTGTGGATGACATTTGAAACCAGCAGCTACTCAGAAAAAGGCAGATCAAAAGAAAATGGCATTGAGTTAAAAAATCAATATATCCAAAGGGAATTAAGGAAGTTAGTGTATTGAGTGCTCTCTGTATGCTATGCTGTAAGTGCTTCTCATTCTGTATCTCATTGTATTTTCAGAATAACTTCATAATGGGCTGGCTGTGGGGGTGAGCTTGTAGTCCTAGCTACACAGGAGGCTAAGGTGGGAAGGTTGAGGCCAGTAGTTAGAGACTGCAATGCACTATGATGGTGCCTGTGAATAACTACTGTACTTCAACCTGGGCATCATAGTGAGACCATCTCTTAAAACACACAAACCAAAAACACCTTTGAGGATAGGCTTGCTTTTCCCAGTTACAGATGGGGAACTGAGGTTGTGAGAGCCTTGCTAGAAATGTTATAACTAGTAAGTCTGATAATCTAGTCTGACTTCAAAAAACAACAATTTTTAGTCCCTTTTTGCTTACAGGGGTTTCTTATGTAGTATTTGTTAATAGCAGAGTTAAACAGATACATTTGAGAAGACACCACAGTTGTTTTATTCACTGTCCTCACCTTACTGGTTTCCTTTCTTTGCTTTTATTGTGACAAATAAATGAGGGAAAAAGTATAGATAATAATATAGCAAACATCCATGTATCCTCATCTGGAATGGACAGATTAAATATCATAGATTCAGTTGAAATTCCCTTTAAATCCTTTCTAGTCCTAATACCTTCCCTGTCTTATAATTCTTGAACTTTTTCACGGCAATTTTGTTCACCCAGTACTAATATAATACATACATGTAAAAATACAGCCTTTTCTAACTTTAGACTGTGGTTTCCTAAAAACATGTCCAAACAAAAATGGCAGTTTGAGAAACCTTGTGATAAAAGTTAGCTGCTCTAGAAGTCGGTGATATTTGTTTTGAGCTATCCATGTGGTCAAGAAAGACTAATTTTACATTATAAAATGAAAATAAAAAAGCAAAAATGCTCCCAGTATGCTTCTGAGCCCTAAGAATCTGTGCACTCCTGAAATGATGATTAATTTTTGGTGTTTGGTGGCAATAAATTTTTAAATGAATGGATAGCACAGAAGCTCAATGAATTTGAATATTTAACATTTTATATGCTTTCTGCAATTATTTCCTCTTTTATTTTTCCATGTTTCTTTGTGACATTCTTTACCAAAAAATGTCAGCCTCTCAGGTGTTCAGAAGGGTAATGAGGAAAAGAGGGACTGAGCTACACTGGGTCATAGTTTGGGAATCAAAGTTCCTGATGAACTGGGCCCTGGATCAGAACTAAAGATGAACTGGACACAAAGGGACAAACTCAAACTTGGCAGTATACTCAGCTCCCAGGGAGAATATTTGGCAAATGCTTGTATTAAAGCCTTGCAAGTGACGGTTTGTTTTTATAATGGAGCCTGTTCTCCCGTAGGTTTTTAAAAATTCATAGTGTTTAATCTTAGCTGGAGCAAGAGGGCTAGAGGGCTGGAAAGAACATCTTAGACTCTGACTGACAATACTGTTTGCAAATATGCAGTTGGGTTGACTTTTCGAATTCATCAGTTAAAGTGTAGTAATTGAGAAAATTACTTATGTAAGGGATGTAATGTTATTCTTTAGGCTCTGCTGCCACCTATTGGATCATGCATTTCATATACTGAGAGAACATACAGCCCACCAGAGAAACTGAGTTTGGGGGGAAAAAGCCACTGTT